TTTAAGAAAACACAGAACAAATAAAAGAGAGTGGCCACACAACAAGAGACACCAGAACAGACAGCACAAATATCTGACACCCAGAAGAGATCTCGTTCCAGCACCACAGATTGGAGGGGCCTCTCCCCTCCCCTGAAGTAGGCTGCTCTTACCAAAAGCGCCCACTGCCTGCCTGTGAGTTGAGGAAGGGCTCCTTTCCCCACTCATCCGGCGCATCTGCCGGTTTCCTGATCCGGCACGTCTGCTGGTCCCTGTACCCTTGGATTGGTTCCCTACGCAAGAGATTGATCCCAATCCTGCCAGCTCCAGTTCCTGAACCCCACTCCCCTTCTGTCGGGGGCAAGTTTCCAGCTCCGAATTTTTCTCCTTCCCGGCCCATGCACGAAATGTTGGGCCCAGGTTATGAAGGAGTTGTTTGGCATGAGGAATATGCCAACACACGACAATGCAAGTGCAAGAAGGAGAGTTTATTTGCTAGCTCGAGTTAGGGTCCCTGCTCTCACAAATTCAGTGGCTTGAGCAAAAGACCTCGTGCTCCTTTACTATCACAATTTTATAGGAAAATATGGGGTGCAGTAGCACCAGGGAAAAGGGGTACAGATGACTGGTAGTTGCTAAGGGGTTTACGGCAGGGATCTGAGATGTTGGGGGGTATGTTGGAATTCCCTGGCTTCAAAGTCTACTTAGGGAATTATTATTTAGGGAGGATGCAGAACCCTAATATGTGGGAGAATTCAGGAGCCAGGTAAATCTCTGATACGTGCTGAGTCCGGAGGAAATCTCTGATACCTGCTGAGTCCGGAGGTTAGATAAAGGCCCTGAGGAGTGTTAGAATCTCCAGCATTAAAAGACTTGTTAGAATCCCTGACACTAAAGGGTTTCTGGTTAAAGATTTCCCTGGAGGCTATTAGGACTCCGGCCTCAGCTCCACACCTGAAGAGGAGGTTTCTGTCTGGGCTCACACTGACTTCCCCTCACTGTGTCTCTCACAAAGTAATATACCACAGTGTCCTCAACTTTCAGGTTGTTCATTTGCAGATACAGTGTGTTCTTGGCGTTGTCTCTGGAGATGGTGAATCGACCCTTCACGGAATCTCCATAGTTCTTAGTACCACTATCAGGGTTAATTCGTGCAACCCAGTACAGCCCCTGCCCTGGAGCCTGTCGAATCCAGTGCATCCAGTTGCTACTGAAGGTGAATCCAGAGGCTGCACAGAGAGTCTCAGGGACCCCCCAGGCTGACTCAGGCCTCCCCAGACTCCACCAGCTGCTCCTCACACTGGACACCTGCAAACACAGAGACATCCTGGTCAGGAAACCCCCACACATGTCCACTGTTTCTCTCACTCATGCCCATTCACATGCACTTGCTTTCCATAAAATGACCTTTTAAAATAGCAACAAGAAAAATCCAGACCAGCAAAAACTCTATGGAGACTCGTGTTTGTTCAGTGTAGATCAATGAATGGGGACACCTGGAATCCTGGGGCTGAGGCTTCTCACCCAGAGCTGCAGGGTTGGGGCTGGGCTGGTTTTCATCAGCTGAGGGAGGGCTCTATTTGCATATCCTCCTCCTATATAGCAAACT